AGAGAAACAAAATAAAGAACACACACACAGACTAACAAAGCATACAAGCAAGTGTCTGGGGATCAAAATGTGTGTTTACTGTTTACACGGATTCATCACTAGTTCTTTGAGTTATCATGTAGTATTAAATATCACAAGAGTGCAGTTTTTCTCCAAATATCAGCATGAGAACAAATTGGAAATTGATTGTATATCAATAAGTTTAATAAACAAGACGTTAATATTAAGCGACTTACATTTTAGACACCATAGTGCCTGTTTTTGCTCTATTTCGCAGACGAAAATAGCTCAAAACAAAGGCACACACGGCGGTGTTTCCTTACTGAGTCAATCAGCCTTTTGATGAATCAGTTGCATAGGATAGATTAAGAGTCAAATGCTTCTTTCCTTCAATGAATCAGCCGTTTGAATGAATCGGTTGAATCTCAATGATTCGCTCATTAACAGTGTCGTGTTAAATCTCACATTTAAAGTATCGTTTCTTGGTTAAAAAAAATGAAATATCAATGTTCAATATTGCAAAGATGAATTTTGTTGATACTGATTTCATTTGATTGGTAACAGCACTATTGTGTCTTATTTTTATAATTTAATTTGATTAAATGTATGAAACTGACAAAACAGATGATGCATGCATATAATTATGTTAAAAGAATGGCTTTATAAAGGTAAAAATCTATTGAAACAAATTAAAAAAAATTCAATGTCACTGCTGTGAACTGGCCACCACACAGAGTATGAACTGAAGAACATCACACACTTTAGGAGTCGGCTGTCAAGTACCAACACAATAAACACACTCGCCAAAATATCGTCTAATAATCGTTTTAAAAAAACTCCCAGAAAATAATGAGATAGCATTTTCTGTCAATATCGCACACCTCTAACTCACCAGAGGTATAAAAGCTACTCAAGTTACAGTGTTTACGTACATTTGTCCACTGTATATGTACTTGACTATGAATAAATCATAGACTTGAATTTATTAACAGTGAAAATATCATTACATCATAAAACAAAATATCACCTTTTTTAAAAGATTGTAGTGCATTAATTAATGACAAGGAACACCTGAGCAAAAAAAACTGAACACCAGAGGAAAAAGAAAGAAAGAAAGAAAGAAAGAAAGAAAGAAAGAAAGAAAGAAAGAAAGAAAGAAAGAAAGAAAGAAAGAAAGAAAGAAAGAAAGAACTCCTACGGTGGCCAATGTAGTCCAAGATTAACATGGCTTCCAGTTCGATCTCGTTCATGAGTGTTAACTCAAACGTAAATGCGAAAGGCGAAGCTTGAATTAACGGGTATGTCCCTCTTTGGCTAATGTACTTTCAAGATGGAGGGGCAACATGGCGACCGGCATTAGAACCCCTTACCCGTATGTATTTTCAATGGCATATTATACACTCACGAGAATACTTTATTACTTGAATGAAGTAAATATGCATTAATGAGCACATATATTTTTGAAAGAACTAAGTGTTTTTAGCTAAGAATAAACTAAGAGTTACACAGTGTAGCTTTAAGAAATTTAAAAACATAAATGTGGCTTGAGATTGCTTGGGCGCGGAGCGCACATGATCTCCTCTTCCACCCTAATAATACCAGTTACAGTGCCAAATAAACATGAATGAGTGTCTGAATGTGTGTTAAAAGTGTCAAATTCCAAGTGTCACATGGAATCGCTCAATCAGTGTTTCACCGGTGGAAAGACGTCAGTAAAACAGCTTGTAAACAATGTCATGTAACGTCACATTTACCTCAGAAAAAACCATAAACTTGTTAGTCAGCTAGAAGCATTAACTCTAAAGAGGAGCATTTTGGCAAATATATGCACCATATTACATATTCATTATCATTTTTAATGTTCTTCAATATTTAACGTATGTTTGAATAAATCTGGCAAGTTTTTATGAGAGCCACCATTTAAATGTTTATATTTCATATAATATTATACATAAAAGCGTAATTTAAGTGTTTGTATAGCTACAAATCCTTCAATATTATAGGAGGATAATAAAGCCTACAGAAGCCTAAATAAGTTTACAGTAGTTAACAGATTTGTTCTCCTTGAGAAAATTTGTTATGTAGTGTTATGTACCTGATATCCAAAATAACCAATATTGAATCGAATCGGAATTGAATTGTGAAATTTGTGTCAATACCCAGCCCTAATTAGTGCTGTCAAACGATTCAAATATTTAATTGCGATTAATCGCATTAATGTCATAGTTAACTCGTGATTAATTGCACATTTTTATCTATTCTAAATGTCTCGTTGATTTCTTTTTGTCCCATTATTTTTTCTAATATATAATGCTCTTATCAACATGGAAAAGTGGATCGGTTTGCTTTGTGCAAATGTTTTTTATTGAAAACAACATTGTCATATACTGTGTTCAATTTCACACTAACATTCTCACTCGGAGCAAATAATCTCTCACACAATGTAACACCGTCCATCAATAAAAGGGTGAAAGAAATACTGACGAGGTCCTGATCATAGACAGTAAAAGAAATGGACAGAGCCATCTCATTGGAACTCCATTGAGACGATTGAAGCCCGTTTTTGGCGATTTTTTAGCACTTCCGTCCCTGACGGGCAGACTCAAACAGAGCTTGACGACGTAAATGTGACGAGAGCAAACCGTCTGTCTTCTAGTGGCTGTGGCATGAGAAATCTGAATCATTCCCTTCTGAAACTTGCAGAGGCGGAGAGTGTGAATAGGAGCTGTCCATGAGCTAGGAGAAGGAGACAATTTTGCTAGGTGTTCTGATTAATTATTTTGTCATTTTGCCTCCACGTTTCCCCGATTGCGCGCACGCTTCTTCTCCTGTCCATACGGTAATCTCTCTACTGTGCGACAGAGAGTCGCGTGGGTATGACGCAATCGTTAGCCTACTTTCACTAAAACTGCTTCTATGGGGCCATAACATAAGCTACGGTAATGGAGCATTTTATACAGAAAAATTTTATACAGTTTCTTTAGAAATAAATAAAGGACAAATGGGGTCTTCAAACGCCACACATGTAAAGTTATTCGCTGTCAAAGTGACACCAAAATGAATGGGAGTCAATGGGAATGCTAATTAGGGATGCACGATATATCGGCCAGCATATCGGTATCGGCCGATATATGCTCATTTTTAATGTTATCGTTATCGGCCTGGTAAGAAAAGGTGGCCGATGTATTAAAGCCGATTAATAATGTATTGTTCCCTTCAGCTGAGACACTTGTTGAGTTGAAATATGATTGAAATCTCTTCAAAAAATGAAAATACGGTTAGGTACAACATGTGCAGCGCAAATCTGTCATATCGGCTATTCAACACTATAATGAGAACATCATTATGATTGTGCGCTTGGGACATGGATTTAATTGTGAGACTTTTGTATTTGTAATCAGGCTCTCAAAAATGAGATAAAAATTTGGATTTAAGTTTATCGGCCGATATATCGGTTATCGCCTTTCAAATATAAAGAATTATCGGTTATCGGTATTGGCTAAAATTTTCATATCGGTGCATCCCTAATGCTAATGCAAGTGAAGTTCTGCTACAAGATGTCAGCTCACGCGAGGCTTCAACTTCTGGTCGATGGATTACCCCTTTGGTCCTGATATTGACGAGGGGGCGGAGAATTTGCATCAGCTGTGTGTGTGTGTGTATATATATATATATATATATATATAATTCCATCTCTGCACTCCTGTTTGCCCCTCTCAAGCTCCACCTTTACTCTAGAGAGACATTTTACCGTCTATATATATGAGCTGGGACAATAAATCGATGCATGATCGATTCCAATATTTTTGAAATTGATATCTTCCCATAGATGTGCGTCCGGCTGAGTCTGAGAACGTACTTGCCCCTTATGATGCTTTTATGAGGTGAGATTGATGTAAACAGCCCACTGCAAACACACATCAGTTTCATTAACTTAGGCCATTACCATCTGTGTTTGTGTGAACACTCCCCAAGACAGGTATTTTTCCATTATTCTCTGTGTAACTGACTGTTTAAACACGATAAGCTGTGGTGTATGAGCACAAAACAAAGTCTGTCAGACACGAGATCTCGATCACAGCTTATTAAACCCGATTGGTTTAAAATTGTGGGATGTTTAAACTGGCAAAGCTTAAAATGCATACAAATGATAAACATCACAAGCGTAACCGAGACCATTTTTGCGCCAGTTGTCAAATCTCTACTGGTTTATTGTGTGTATAATTATATAGCCCACCCCTAATTAAATGTTAATAAGTTTATCCATACCCTTTTCGGAATGGCTAACAGGCCCTAGACGTGGTGCTACGTATCCTTGAGGAAACGAGACCTGTCTCTAATCACTAATCCACAATTTCTCTCCAGACTAGGTTTTCTTCAACGGGTTACTTCATAGCCGATCAATTTCGCGAGGGAAGTGGCCCCGCAACACATCACACCTAATGATCCTTGTAATAATTACTGCTGTCATTTAGTAAGATGTATACCTTTGTTTGGAAATGTTTCCAGAACCATCCAAACATCAGAATGTCAGAAATCACAACATCTTGAACAGATTTTGCATATGTCTATAATTACTGGTGTTTCCGTGTTGTAAATAAGTTCACGCAATATGTTCAGCCTTGCTGACTGTTGTCATTGGAGCTGGAAAGGAGAACACTCTGTCTTGGAGTAAAATGTCTCTCTAGAGTAAAGGTGGAGCAAACAGGAGAGCGGAGATGGAAATGCAGTTAGCTCTTGCTCACGCATATTACACTGGGGTATAAATCAAGACAGTGAGAGAGAAGGAAATGCATTAGACGCCCAGCGGGACGGTGTATACACTGAGTTTGAAGGGCAGATATCAGGCTGGATGGATGAGGCCTACCACACGATTGAGCTCAACTCTCAGCTGAATCTAAACTATAAGATTTCGCTCAGACATGAGATGGATATACTGATCGGTTGGAACGGATTGGGAGTGTGTGCGTAAGTGCTAGAGAAAAACAAGAGAGTATTACCTTTGTTTGTCCTTGTCCCTGGCTCTGTCGGCCTCTTTGTCTTTAGTTCGGTCTCGTGTCCTGTCTTTGTCTCGAGTCCTGCGCTGGCCATGATCACGATCTCTGCTGCGACTACGCTTCCTGCTGGACCGGCCACTGCTGCCACTGCGAGACCTTCGGGGACGGGAACGAGACCTTCAAGGAACACGCACACCAACAATACATGTCAATTGGAAAAACGTGTCAAATAAATTAAAAAAGCAGAATCCAGGCTGCAGCGGTCAAAAGATTACGATCAATCATTGATCAAGATTGATTAAACCAAAAGCAATTATGCTATTCACATCTCCTACTGTCTATGGCTCATCAGCGTTCCATTGATATCTCAAAATGTTACTGACACAGTTAAAAACATGACATATCAGAGTTTATATCAAGTGACATATTTGCTCTGTTCTGTGACGCACGTTTGCGACTCTCCTGTTCGAACTCATTCATCAAAATGAACAAATCTTTTTCAGAGTCATTCAGAGATGGGGACTCAAGTTTGAGACTCAAGTTTGAGTCACACAAACGCTGACTTCAGACTCGACCCAAAAGACTTCAGACTTGACTTGCGACTCGACCCAAAAGACTTGTCAGCAACCTGTTTTCATGCAATTATTGCTTTTTAAATCTAAATTCATTTTAAAGCATTTCTATTTTCTTTTATTGGCGCAAACGTTGGGGAAGCGTATGACAAGCTGCATGTCACCCGCCCTTTGTCATACTGTTCATGAGACAGAGCGTATTTAGGCCACGCCCACAGCGGGGGAAAACAATCCAACCGTCTCCATTGACTTTGCGTCTGTAGATTTCAACAAAAGTTGGCATTGTAAATCGTCCCGCTGCTCCGCGATCTGCACCGTCATCACAGACATCGCTAGAAAGCTCTCTCTCTCTTTCTCTCTCTCTCTCCAGTTCAATGTTGTCGGATCCAAATATGGTCATTTCCTTTTAATCAGCAACCAATGCGCGAAAGTAAAAGGGGGGATTTAACTCTAAATGAGCAATCTCATTGGCCTAATGGAAGTCTTTAGATCCCGTTTTGCGTTTTCTCAAAATGACTTTTTCTCCCAAACTCCAAGTCTGAAATCTCCACTTCAGTAGCACCTATATACCAAACCTAATACACCAAACTGTCCAGTCTTGTACCTAGTTTTATTATGAAGACTATTACAGATGGATTTGTAAATATATTATTCCTAGCTTGATTTATATAACATTGTTTTTCTAAAAACATGGCGAAAATCTATTTAAGGATAACAAAAGTAGATATCCATAAATATCTATTTTTCCCCCATCTATTACTGTATGTGAACACAATGAAAAAAGTATTTTAAACCTGGCCTTATCTAATAGGCTATTCAGATTTCGTTTTTTTTAAATATATGCAAATTCGCACATATTTAATTAGACAATGCCTAATAATTTAAGACTTGAGACTTGACTTGGAATCGTGGCAAAAGACTTGAGACTTGACTTGAGCTTGCCCCTCAAAGACTTCCAAAAAATGACTTGTGAACATCTCTGGAGTCATTTGGTTCATTCAACGAACGAAACGAATGAATTGACTCAGAAAAAGATATGTTCATTTTGTTGAATGAGTTCAAACAGGAGAGTCACAAACGTGCAACACAGAACAGAGCAAGGCGAGCATATTTGAGCTTATAAAACTTAAACTTTGTTATTTATTTATTAAATGTGCGATTGTTTCGCTTGATAAGACCCTTATTCGTCGTCTGGAATCGTTTGTACTGAAATCAGTTTGTACTGAAACTGTCTTTTGGACCTTGAACCTTGAAAATCCTGGAATGTTTTCATCAAAAACCTTCATTTCTTTTCGACTGAAGAAAGAAAGACATGGACATCTTGGATGGCATGGGGGTGAGTAAATTATCAGCAAAAGTTTTTTGAAAAGTGAACTACTCCTTTAAGTTCAGCACACGTCCCAATCATCTCTCACCCAGAATTTCCTGTCTATGAAAAAAGGCCAAAAAGTCCAAAGAAATCTACTTAAATGTGCAAAAGTCGTGCGTAGATCCAAATTCACATTCAAGTACAAAGACCCCAAGTGTGGTTTATTGGGACAGATCCTATAAGCAGAGTACTGTAGTTGTGATGCGACATGTTGCTGTATAAACTCTGTGTAAACTGTGTGTGATAAAGAGCTTTGCACTGATGTCCATTTTTCTCAGACGTGAGGGGTGCATGCCTTCACCTCAGGCACACTATCGTACATCTTCGTACGTCTTTCAGTTGACTTTTACTGTTTTTATACTAAGCTAATGATATTTTCTATGCTCTGACTATCCTAACCCTCACAGAAACCACTCAATATTAATTAAAACAATGATCATTCATCTGTTGTCCCTGTGGACAAAGATTCTTTTGACAACGTAATCAAAGTTTGTGTGTGTGTACAGATTTAACTTATACTGCAGTGAACTTCACGAGAATAGTAAAACCTGAAATCATCAATAGCTACATGGTGGGAACCTTTCAGTGTCTCGCATATTCATCATTATCTTTTTGCAAAAATAATAAATTCAAAACTGTGAGTCTGTACTCCTTTGATTCACAACATAACTTCTTAAGTCATCGGTTTGTATTTGGAGCGGTCGACTTAGATTTGGCCAGATATTTGGGGGTTTGCATAATTTGTCTCGGTCACATCCAAAAGTCAAGAAAAGAATGTCTAGCTACACTGATGTGGGAAAAGATGATGTTTTGAAGATCATTGGTGACTTAGATTGAATGAACACTTATCACTTACTCAAAATATCTTTTACACGTTTGAAAGGACATGAGGGTGAGTAAATGGTGGCTGTTTTCATTTTTAGGTGACCTGTCACTTTAAAGGTTTCCAGACTTATTCATTTTTTAACATGGTTCACATGTTCTGAAACTAGCGCCCTCTTTCAGTAGCCAGTATTGGTGTCGAAAACAAATGGGCCATTTGTTGAACCATTCTGCACATCCTACTGAAAATAATGTTATAATTAATGACAAAAAGAAAAACAAGCCAATTCTTGACACACGTGTAAAGCTGTTAATTTATAATCAAATTCAGTAAAAATTCACAGCACACAATCATGACAATCAGTTGTTATGATTGATCATTGGCGTCACTTAGTATTGCTCGTGCAAATCCCTATTGGCTGTATGAAGTGGCCATCAGAGAGGACCTCAGTGTACACAGGCTGTATTGATCCTTACGGACAGGCCAGAGAATGCCCGGAGATTTAAAGGATTTTACTTACCAGAGCAACTGACTCCAGAGCCATTCATCCACACCGTGACATACAGACATGCTCACGCATACACACCGATGCAGAAACACACAGTATGGGACATGGTGGAAAGTAAACTGAGTGATTCTATTGTCAACAATCAATTTGTGTACTTTTACTGTAGAAATATGTGGAGAAAAAAATCTTCTACAACACATTTCACTAGTTAATTTGTCCACTAGAAATGACCAAAGAGAATTCCTACCACTATGTAATTTCTAATGCTTATGGAAAATGCATACACAGATAGAAAACTGAAACACTAACATAAAAACTATACAGTACATATCACTGTGTGATACATGAAAATACGATTTTGTTTACTAAAAATGTACAATATTTTATCAAAATTGGATCATGAAGTCACACGACTAGGTCAAAAGTCAAAAGCCAAAACAGAGTCAGCTGAACCATACCCAGTCACCTGATTATAAAACACATGAATATCATACTCATACTCATCACCCCCCTTTCCCCATCTCGTCAACTCCGCTCTGGACAGGCCAATCTCCTTCAGCCTGTGAGGACAAGGCTTCGTACTATGGGTGATCGAGCTTTCTGTTCAGTCGCGCCTACTCTCTGGAATGCTCTCCCTGTCCAACTAAGGGTCCCTCAGACTGTTGACTCTTTTAAAAAAAGGCCTTAAAACCCATCTTTTTACAAAAGCCTTTTATGGCTAACAGTGCTTTTATTTCTTTCTTTTTTTTCGTTTTTTTTAATGTTCCTGTTTTTATGTGTACCACTTTGAGGTCATTAAATTGATGTAAAGTGCGTTACAAATAAAATATATTATTATTATTATTATTATACGACGAAAACAAGAAAACTGCTATATTCACAACATATTTAAACCAGGTTACTAAACAGACTAATGACGACAAGACTGTTGAAGTTCTCCATTGGTCTCAGGCCCCGTCCACACTACTGCGTTTTCGTTTAAAAATGGAGAATTACAACGAATACGATCTCCGTCCACACCAGCGTTTTATCTGCGCTTTAGAATTGATCTCAGTCCACATTAAAACGACTGAAAATGCGGATCACGTGACCATTCACCAACACTGGGCATGCGCGTGCCGGTGTAAACGGTGGCTGACGAATCAGGGAAGGACAATCATAGAGCCGAGCGTCAGCGTTTCTAAACTCCTCCGCTTTGTCCCGTTTACACTAAAACGCCCCCAGGAGGTTCAAAACGCAAAACGGAGCAGCAGCGTTTCTAAACTTCTCCGTTTTAGGTCTTCTTAGGGGCCGTTCACATATCACGCCTGAAAACGCGTAGAAAACGCTAGGCGCACGCGTTCTCCTTTTTCCAAAGAAGCGCTAGGGCGGTTGCACTCCGGAGGCGTCTGTCGTTGCTAAGCAACCATCAGCTGCGCTCTCCATTACATGAAGGAAATTTCAGCAATGGATTTCCACCACCGAAAAACCCTTGCTGTAACTCTGTTACAAGATTTATTTACTCAGAAAAGTTAAAAAACGCTGCAGTGTTTGGGTGCACCCCATACTACAAAAACGCAAGAACCATGGGGAATTTCACCAGCTGATTCAGGTACTCCGCCTGGACAATGGGAGGTTCAAAGCCTATTTCAGAGTGGACAAGGACCAGTTTGATTATATTTTAAGAAGAAGTAACAAAAATGGCGAGGAAGCTGATTGGTTGGTTCGTGTCACGTGACCTACGGTGCGCTTGCGGCATTCTGAAAAGTTGAGATGTTTTTATCTCGATGCGGCGCGGACGCGCCTGGAAAAAACGAGAGCGTCGCCACGCGACCGCGTCACTTCCATTATGAGCGCGCATACCGCGCGCCTACATTTGAAATAACGAACTTGAGCGCGCAAAAGACGCGATATGTGAACCGGCCC